GCTGTGTCACTAGAGCAAAGAGAGTAATTAACAGATATGTCACTAGAGCAAAGAGATAATTAATAGCTGTGTCACTAGAGCAAAGAGAGTAATTAACAGATATGTCACTAGAGCAAAGAGATAATTAACAGATATGTCACTAGAGCAAAGAGAGTAATTAACCAGCTGTGTCACTAGAACTCAAATGGTTAGCTAGCAGATGTACCTTATTTTCCAAAACCTTAATTTCTTATTTCAAAAATTTGTTAATGATAGTTTTATTAAAGAACATAAAAAATTAATGGCAAAACCTTTTTTTAACAAGATTAGTCAAAATCAGTAAATATTTACTTTGAACTATCTCAGAACGACTTTCTAGAAAATATTGTAGTGCTAAATGACTTTGTAAATATACTTGTATATATGTTGTGTGTTTTTTATATTTTGGATATATATATATATAGTCATATAAAATACCGTATGTTATACTATAGAAAAAGGAAAAATAAACAAACATTAGTTCACCTAACTAGACTTACGATAAAACTGAACGTTGGTGTCAAACGACTCCTGCTCTTTTAAGGGGTCAGCATGTTCTTGCGGTCTAACTGTCCCCTTTAGTCGTCGCTTTATGGCTGAGTTAGTTGGCTCTGGTCTCAACTCTGACCACCCTTTCAATGTTTCCGGTCTGACTATTGTAGACTGCATTACGACGATCTGTTTCATCTGAGGTTGTGAAGGGTGCGATACCGAAACGGTAACTAACTGCACGTCCTGCTCGATGTTTATCAATATCTAGTAAGGGGATCACCCGGCAGACTGCTATGTAGGGCGTGCCAGCTGTGCACTTAGAGCGCATGCGTTCATGTTGAATTCGCTGACACGACAATCCAGGTTTTAATAGGATGATATATTCTCAAATAAAGTAGAGCAGTTTTTATAATACTGTAGAAATCTTTTCTTTCTCCATTTTTTTTTCTTCTTCTTGTTATTAAAGGAGAGAGGTATTGATAATGGAAACAGCACTCGGTCGATAAAACCAGACGTTTTGTAACAACTGCGTCTGTCATAACTTTTAGCTGAGTTTAGTTAGGGACAGTATAACTAGTTCTTAGCTCATCAAGTAATCTGCGCCTTCAAAAAACTTCATTGTAATCGGCCATAGGGGATTTACGAAAATTTTTACTCATCTACGAAACTTGCTGTTCTATAGAAACATTTTTTTTCTATTACAAAGAGCTCTTAAACTCGCACAGCAAAAGTTCACTATTTCGCAGCTTCCTGATGACAAAGAACATGTATTATTACGTCTAGATTTTAACTGCCAAAATATCGTGTAGATTGCGCAAAGTTTGAGTACATTATATATATTTTCAAGCTTCTCCATATCGTTAAAATCCACGTCGCCACCTCCAGTCATGTTCTATCTGACGATGCTCGTACATCTTGACAATACCCCCGCAGCGTAGTTCCCATTGCAAAAGGCTCCAAGACTCCGTCGTAGGGCTGTCATATTTTAAGCACGCCCTCTTCCCTGCAGGCTTTCCATAAGTCGTCTAGTATACGAAGATGATGGTTTCTTAGCGCTCATTTCAACAGTCTAATCACACAGAAATACATAGGCGCTGCATTCTGCGGTTTGACCTGTATGCCTTCCTACGGAATAACATGAATATCCGTTTAATTTTACAGCCGCTTGAGGTATGGAACTGTTGAACAAGTATATGTGGAAGTAACTTGTATATACGTGACTTGTGGCGCTTTTCCAGATGGAGGTTCTTCTTTATTATGTTGCGTACTGTTGCCTGGGTCATATGGACGGCTTTTGCCGTTGAACTTTGTGTTCATGGATTCTCAATTGTTACAAAAACCTGCACTTTGCTTACCACGGCTTGTTGCAGGTCTCTTTCTGTATGGTCCTGGGGCCCCAAGTTGATCCATATTCATTTGTTTAACAATTCAGTTAAATACAAGTGATATTTTTCTCTCTTTGAAACTCTAAATCCCTGATCATAAAAAATGTTTACCATATGAGTGAATGATTATTTTGAGTCGGAAAAAGCTGTTACATACTATTTTCAAAAGCAAGCATTTTTTAGTTGCATCATATTAACTACGTAACGCCACAGGCATGGTTCAACAACTAACTATCTTTACAAGAGAACAATACAAACTAAAAATTCACAGAGTTTGGATGTCATCATTTTACGTTATTCAAAATACAAAGTTAGCAGGTAGGGAACAGTTGAAAGTTGTTGCTGAAACAGACAACTTCCCTGATGAGGATACACAGAAGTGGACCGAAACGTCATCTGACTACCGTTCATCAGACAGACTGTTCGTTTCAACTCTTCAGTATCTACTTTACCTTTCACTAGCTCACCTACAAAGTATTTTTTTTTTAGTCACGAAAATGAACAATGCAGCCACCTCGAATCTGAAATTTGATCAGTTGGGTTTACAAACCAGTCAAAGCACTTGCCATCTAATTCTAAAAGCATTGTGAAGCATCTGAACGTGATACGGAAATGTTTGATAAAGCTATTTCGCTACAGTTAATTACTTGGTGAGGAAAATGTATAGTTCTCTTTAATTTTTCAAACAAGACTGGGTGAAACGTTTGCTATAATTATGTTTAAAAAATGTGTTTATGTTATAAATCTGTTACTATATCTAAAGTTTCAGACAGTGTAATGAACCATTTAGTTGTCTGCGAGCAAGATAATTTCTCCTCGTTTTTTTTTTTGCCTATCTAGGCAATAGTCTTTGATAATTTGTATTTGGTCAAGGGCAGTTTTCGGTTTCTAATGAAACGCGTAAAATATTTTACATTACACCTGTTTATTTGGTATGCATGTGTTGCATACGAAGTAAATGATGCAACATATTATTTGTTGTCAAATAATGATACGGAAGTAAAGTACGATAAATGTTAATGTGACATCGCAATGTGATAACTACAAAATAACGATAATAATAAATGCCGTCTTTTTGTTACAAAATGACTGTTATTACAGAAAAAACATATTTGAACTACAAATATTAAAAACCATTAAAATCACTTATTTACACTATATAAAAAATCATAACGATCAAATACTATAGTTCAGAAAGTTGTTTTGACATGATTTGGTTACTTGTTCGTTTGTTAGGAAGCTGAAAGATACACCATGGGCTTTCTGTGCTCTGCCCCCTGCAGGGATCGAAACCCGATTTTAGCGATTTGGTTATTGTTATGAATTCACCTTATGCAACAATGGTTTAAGCGACCAGGTTAAAGACACCTTAAGCTGTTCCTAATTCAGAGCTACTGACCAGAAAGCGCGATAAAAAATATGTGGCTTCTTGTAGACAAATAGCGATATTGAATGTTAGCATTTTAATGCCTTCGTATCTGGAAGTGTGGATAATATCACATTTCGAACCTTGGACTTTCCGATCCAAAGTCCGGTATTTTAACCATTAGACCCCGTTCGGCCTGTGTTTATGGCTGATATGAGCCAATTGACTTGATGAATATTTTATTGTTTATAGATATAAATATCATTTGGTGATATGATAATTCTTAATATTGCTCATATGAAAGCTAGTTTATGACTCATATACTTTGGGCGTCTGACCTTCGTAGTTTTGATGAAAATGTCACGCCATATTTGCATGTCTAGATTTATATGCTTTTGATGTTAAGGTAACATTCGTTGGTATTCTTAGAAAAGGTCATGCTATTTTAATATGTAGAAGTTTATAGGCCTTTAGTGTTAGAGTAAAAACGTTGATTGAATTAGAAATGAACAACCATGATATTTTTTGCTCTAAGGGCGTAATGCCTGCGGTATTCAAAGGTTTGCTTTTATTTTTCTTTCAACACAGCATGGTACTTTTTAAATGTTATGGTACAAGGTTAATATTAGGATTAGAGTTTTTGAGCAATTAAAGAGAAATAAACAGATACTTCTAGTTCGAAATATTAACAAAAAACTTTTGCGATACCTAACGACAGCATAGACAAAATAAAATGTAAAGAACGAACGACGTGGACCTTAATTATTATGAGAGATGATGAGTGAAAGTAAATAAGAATGAAATATTATGTCAACAACACTATATCTGCTGTATTCAGTGCCGACGAGGCCTTTCGCTTAATTCCAGGGTGCATCAAGCCGGCTGGGATACGACAGACATATTAATGGTTGAGACTCTATTTTGTATATCATCACTCACTTGAACAACAACTATTTCGGTGTCAACTGTATTAGGCTAGTGAACAATAAGTGCTATGCGTCTTTTTTTCTAGTTATTGTTTCGCTATTGACACACATATTTGTGTGCAAGATTCCGTGCAAGGCTCCTGCTGACGCCTCAAAATCGCCAGCTGATTTTACAGGAAAGATAACACGAAAGACCACAATCCTTCTCGACTATATATTTTCAATCCTCCCCCTTCTTGAAGCATTTTCTTTAGAATTTAGTTTCTTATGTCAGATTAAACGTGATCTTTGAAACTAAATTCCGTGTATATAATAGAGGGTCTTTGGAAAGTTTGCCTAGTATTTTCCTTGCTATTCCTCGCAGAAGCCCCCTGTGACACAGCGGTATGTCTGAGGACTTACAACGCTAGAAACCGGGCTTCGATACCCGTGGTGGGCAGAGCACAGATAGCCCATTGTATACTTTCGTGCTTAACTTCAAACAAACAAACCCTCGCAGAAGTTTTTTAAAAACATAAGTTACATTATCGGACAACAGTTGTAATGATGGACATCAGATTGATACAGATCTATGAGGAGGATACTTGATACACATTTTGAGTGCAAAACATGTGCTTTATTTCTCTAGGCATAGCATTACTGTCGAGACACATGTTTACGTATTAGGTGTCATACACTTGGTTATCCAAGCTATTGAAAGTATTGACACAAAGACTTCTCTCTATGGTTTCAGCTAAAGCTAAATTGCAATCTTCACTGTTAGAGAAATAAATAGGCTGTTGTCACTATGCTGACGAGGACTCTTCAACATTATACTTATAATGACAAAATAAATGTGTATAACGAAGAATTGTGATCTTTTGATTTTCATGTGCCAATATTTGATTTACAATATTAACTTCTACAGTTTTTCTGAAGAAAATCAATTACTTAACGAGACAATAACAGTCGAAAGACGTCCGAATTTCCATATTGGCGAAATGTGTACGTCTGTTTATTAACTGAAATGTAAAAGAAGAAAAAATTACTACAAATATTTGTTAATGGCAGTCATTTTTCTAGAAGTCGGAATGGAATAACCCTAAATGTTAAATGTCTGGATAGACATCGCTTATTTTCATTGTTGTATAAAAGTAAAAAAAAAAAACAACAACTAAAACCAAACAAGTTTTCTCTTTTAGAGCCCCTGGTGGCTCAGTGGTAAGTTTAAAGAGTTACAACAATAAAATTCGCGTTTGATTCCTGAGATGGGTAACATACAAATAGCCCATTATGCCACTTTGTGCCCTGAAAACAAATAAATCAATCCCCTTCTAGAGAAGATAAACAACGTATCTTATATGTGTTAGTTTGTTTTCACCTAGAAAGTTAAACTACAAGAAGAAAAACATGATAAAAGTCAAATTATAGAGCAATTATTTTCACATCCTGTTTCTATAAATTAAAGTCTGAGCTTTCGATATCATTAAAGGAAATTTTTTTTCTACTAAGGATATTAAACTAGCTTTATAAATAACAAATACGTTTTATCATTCAGATCTTGTTCGTTAATGTATCTGTATGCTTTAATTTAAATGCGTACTTCTTAAATGTA